TAGTCTCCAGAGAGACACTGTTGCTCTTGAGTACTTTAGAGAGGTCCATAATAGCAGACTTTCCCATTGCAATACGTCTTTTGATTAGTAATAGCCAAATAAAGCTAGACAAGGAAAATTACTCTAGTACTAAAAAATTAAACAAAAACTAGAATTCTCAGAACCATTGTCCTTGAAAAGAAAACTTACAGACTAGGTAAAAGCATTTGGCAATGACATTTCAGACAAAAGTCTCAGAACAAAAATTTACAGACTACTAAGTAGCCTCCACAAGAAAAAGACAACTCAATAACCAAATGGGCAAAAAACATGAAAAGCCTCTTCAAGAAGGAAAACATTCAGATGGTCAACAGGTACATGAACAAATATTCAAAATAGCTGGCAATAAGAAAGATGCAACTTAGCACAAAATGAGTTACCACGCCACTCTAGTAACAGTAGCAAAATTTAATAGGACAGACAACAACAGATGTTGGAGAGGATGTGGAGGGATTGGAACTGTCATATACAATTGGTGGGACTGTAAAATGGCATAACCATTCTGGAAGGCAGTTGGCATTTTCTCAAAAAGCTGAACATTGATTTCCCATATAATACAACTATTGCACTGTTAGGAATATATCCCAATGAAATCAGAACTGAAAGATGAACAAACATATATTCATAGTAGTGTTATTCACAATAATAAGACTATAACAGCCCAAATGCCCATCAACAAATGAATAGATTTAGAAATTATGGTACATTCTGGAACACTATGCAGTACTATGGAATTTTGTTAAACACTGTATAACATGGGAGAGTCTAGAAAGCATTATACTGAGTGAATTAAGTCAGTTTCAAAAGCACAGATAATGTATAAGATCACTATTGTGAAAACAGAAGGATAACTAGTAAGATACGTATTAATGTCCAAAAGAAGAAGGGGACTATGAAAAGAGGACAGAGAAAAGGAGAAGGATGAAAATCAGTAGGAAAACAGAGTTCAGTGTGTGGAATGGAGGGGAGAAAGGTTAAAGAATAGGAAAGTTTCAGTGAGGACTTGAAAAGACAGTGTAATAATAGGCATAGAACAATGGTACTTAATTACATAAAATAGAATGTGTTTTAAAGATCATATGAAATATAATATATATGAATGAAACACAATGTAAATAAATTATCATTTTAAAACCTAATAAAAATATTATATTAAAAACAAAAACACTGCCTTACCAGTCATTGGGTCAAAGGCGATACAGCTCCTGCTCTCCTTCCATGTCAGTAGAGAGTTCAGGCTTTTGACATCTGCAGCTTCTATGTAATTGTTAATTGTCAGCATCATCTGGTGAGCTTTGGCTATTCCATAATGAACTTTTGTTTCATCCATCAGAGACATGTTCATCAGCTCTTCCGTTGTGTCAAACGCTTGCTGGAAGTATTGTGAAGCTCTGGTATAAAGTCCCTAAAATAAATAACAATTTTTTTCTCAATTTTTACTTTATTATTTCACATATCCACTCATTCCTCTCTGAAATATCCCACATAGAGCTTTCAACAGCCACCAGGGTTCATTTTAAAGAAAAAAAGTGAGGGCAAGTAGGTTCTTTATTAAGATAAGTTTCTTTGAATGTACCATAATTCCTCTATCCATTTGTTTGTGGTTGGACATTTGGGCTTTTTTCATGCCCTTGCAATGGTGAATAATGTTATTATGAATATTGGTGTACAAATCTCAGTTTGTGCCTCAGTTCTCATATTCTCAGGGTATATTGCAAATAGTGAAATAGCTGGGTAATATGGAATTTCTATGTTCAGTTTTTTTATGAAGTGCCAAACTGCCTTCCAGAATGGTTGCACCATTTTACAATCCCACCAACAATGTATAAGAGTTCCTTTCTTGCCACATCCTCTCCAACATTTATTACTAACTGCCCTGTTGAACTTTGTCACTGTTACTGGAGTGAGATGGTACCTCATTGTAGCACATAATGGAATACTATGCAGCACACAGGAGCAATGATTTTGTAAATTATCACCTAACTTAGGAGGGACTGGACATCATTATGCTGAGTGAACTAACTCAGTCCCACAAGGATAAATATTGTATAAAACCATTATTGTAGAATGAGTATGAGGATCCAAGAGAGGTGGGAGAGGCTGGAAGCAGAGAGTTGAGGATGTGCAGGGGGAGGGGGATTAATCATCACATTGTACAATTTGATGAGGTTGGGGGTGAGGGAAATGGAAAGAATTTGTTTGAATTTGTATTAGAATTTTGTAAATAAACTAGTAGGGGAAAAAGTTTACTGCAAAAAAACCCATAAGGTAATGATTACTCACTTCAAAGTATCCTGGAGCTGATTAAGTAAGAAAGCTCCAACTGATAGGTGGAATTATATGAAAATTAAGGATTTGGAATGAAAAATATTGGCAGTTTCATAGAGTTCACCCTAATTTATCATAGTGTGAAGAAGTTTGGGAAGGGTTAAACAAATTCATTTAGATTTTGAGGGAATCTTCTTTCTTAAAGTGCTGAATTCACCTAACGAAAGATTTTTAACAAGCTTTCATTTTTAGTTATTAAAATGGCAAGAAGTCATTTCCTGCTAGCCAGTTCCATCAAAATAAATTAATCTACCTGCTGGTTTAGATCACTCCCCTTGCTTTCCCATGTGCACATAACATTATAGGCTTAGAGCATTGAAATATCAATACATTTTTTTTTAAAAATATGAGCTTAATATCATTGAATCAAAGAAAAGAATGACTTAAATGTCATTCTAAAGAGCCATACCTGCACAGTAGTTGAGTGCTTGGTTGCTAGCTGAAAGATCAACAGTTCAAACTTACCAGTTACTCATTAGGAGAAAGATGTAGCAGTTTCTTCCCTAAAGATTACAGTCTGGAAACCACACTTCACCAAAGAAGATATTCAGATGGCCAAGAAATACATGAAGAAATGTTCAAAATCCCTAGCTCTAAGAGAGATGCAAATCAAAACAACTATGAGATATCATCTCACCCCAGTAAGAATAGCAAAATTTAACAGAGCAGCAAACAACAAATGCTGTTGTGGTTGTGGAGAAACTTGAACCCTTTTACACTGTTGGTGAGAGTGTAAAATGGTGCAACCACTATGGAAGGCTGTATGATGCTTTCTTAAAAAGTTGCAAATACAAATACCATTTGACCCAGCAATTCCTCTACTGGGAACATACCCCAAAGAGACCATAACTGCCACCCAAGCAGGTATATGCACACCCATGTTTATCGTGGCTTTGTTCACAATAGCAAAGAGTTGGAAACAACTTAAGTGCCCATCAACAAACAAACGAATAGAGAAGCTCTGGCATAGCCTCACAATGAAATACTACGCTGCATAGAAAAACAAGGAACTCACGCAATATTATCTAAAATGGGTGACCCTGGAGGACACTATGCTGAGTGAAATATCTCAGTCACAAAAGGACAAATACTGCATAATGCCACTTGTGTAGAATGGGACTGACCTCAGGGTTGGGGTGAGACTGAGAAAAATTGGATAAATTATGTATACTAAATTGAAACAGATGAGGGAGAGAACAGTTTAAAAGCAATATATGATTGGGTATTATGGTTATGACAAGAGTCCAGAATGAATACAAAGGATGTGTGTCCACTTCTTTTAATTAAAATATATGAAACCTCAGAACAGAGCAAGGGAACACTCCATGGTTCAAAATCAGGAAAGGAGTATGTCAGGGATGTATACTGTCTCCCTGCCTTTTCAATCTATATGCAGAACAGATCACTCAGGAGGCTGGACTTTATGAGGAGGAATACAACATCAGATTTGGAGGAAAATTAATCAATAACCTACTTTATGAAGACAACACAACCTTGCTAGCTGAAACTGAGGGCCAGAAGCATTGCTGCCAAAGGTCAGGAACTATAGTCTTTAATATGGATTGAAGCTCAACAGCAAGAAAACAAAGATTCTCACCACTGGACTAATTAGCAGCATCATGATAGATGGTGAAGAGATTGAGATTGTTAACATTTACAGCTTTCTCTGCTCCACTATCAACACTA